ATCTCATTCAATTTTATGTCTTATAGGGTTTATACTGAGTACAATATTGTATAACTGTATTAATTCAACTGTAAAACCTAAAAATTTACAGCCAATTTTGAAAGAGATGCATCTTAGCTCTGGAAATTGTTATTGAATATGTCAATGCTGTTGTAATGAAATGCGTCTTCTAATTATATGGTTATTAAATAAATAATTAAAAAGATATATACAGGATTACACCTATATTTATATAAATATACAGCCTATAGATTTCTGTAATAATGAATGAAGAGAACACAAAAACACAACCATTAAAAGCTACCTGTAATGTTTAGTGAAATTTTAGTCATATATTGTGTATCATAGCGTTGTTTCCAATACAGTTTCTGAATTATATGGTTATTAAATAAATAATTAAAAAGATATATACAGGATTACACCTATATTTATATAAATATACAGCCTATAGATTTCTGTAATAATGAATGAAGAGAACACAAAAACACAACCATTAAAAGCTACCTGTAATGTTTAGTGAAATTTTAGTCATATATTGTGTATCATAGCGTTGTTTCCAATACAGTTTCTGTACTATGATTAAATTTTTAGTTTTTTATTTTTGAGAAATTTGTACATTTATATTATGTGTTACAATCAAATATACCTCCATTCCATGTCTTGAATTCCTCTATTTTCTCTCTAGCCATTTTTCACTCAAAAAGTCATATGCTATTTTAAAAAAAATCCCACTGAGTCCTGTTAGTGCTTCCTTTATGTGCTTGGTTGTCGGACCATTCAGTGTAGCCTGATAGGAGCCCAGAAGCCTCATCCTGAAGAAAACTAACTCTTCTTCCCTCAGAAACTGTCGATTTCATCAATTATTAATAGTTTCTCAGCTGGGGTTGGGATTTCATAAGCACTTTCTCCATTCATGCTGGAATTGTTGAAGGTTTGACTTTGTGCAGGTCTTGTGCATGCATCCATAGAATTGCGTTCATGTGTCTAATAGCATTCTCATGCCTGCCGAGTACTGCAAACATCCACTACCTCTGGCTCTTACAGTCTTTCTGCACACATTTTATGTACTACTTCTTGAGTCTTGGGAGTGGAGAGCTTGATACAAATTTCCTATTCAGAGCTAAATACTCCATAGTTTCTCATGCTTAGCATTTTTGGTTTGCATTCATCTGTTTCTGTACTAGTAATCAATCATCTACTGCTTCTCTCATGAGAGCTGAGAGATGTTCAAACGTATGAGTATAAAATTAAGAACTTAAGAGGATTTCTTAGTATGTACATTTAACAGAATAATTTTTTAGTGATGCTTGCTTTTCTGTTTAGAATTTCCCCACCATCTTTTCATTCTTTGTAGTAGAATATAAGTATACATTTATAATCTAATCAGTACATGATACATCATAGACTAAAATTTTGGATCATTATTACTGTTTCATCTTAAATATATTATGCATAATTTTATAGTATAATTAACATTATTCCATAAATTCTAAAATTGTTGGTTGGAAAAGCAATTAATCTTTTAGAGAATGTACCTTTGAAATTGTAATGAATATTGTTTAGGACTTGTAGTTACCACTGCAAATGTTACTTTATCTAATTGATGTGCTGGTATAATGTAGATATAAAATAAATGTATGTGAAGACACAGCAATTCTTTTTTTTCAAGTACAGCCACAAACACACAAATCAATAAATGAACTCATTCTTTATTGGTGAATTTGTGTCAAAGTAAAGAGATAGACTATTTTATAAAAGGTGCTAATCAATTCAAATTAATTTCAATTTCTGTGGCATAGCAAAGTCATAACTAAATTTTAGGCCTTAAGGGCCTCAGAAAATGTTAACTATACCATTTCTTCAGCAAAGACAATACAGGTTTTAATATCTAGACAGAGTCAACTTAGTCCAGAAAGAAAATATAGAGAAATAAAAAAATGATACAAAATAACCAACATGAGCATCTGAAAATAAAATTTTAAAATCATGGAAAATTAAAACTGTACCTCAAGACAAGATTAGGAACATACGCACTATATCATTCAAAGAGCATTTATTCAGTATATAACAATTTGATTTAATTAAAAATAGTCACATCATAGGAAAGGAAATTTTTGACACACTATGTATAACTCATGATTAAATTCACATTAAGAGAAATGTGAATTAAAGTCAATGTTTGTACTGATTTAATTGACCATGTACATGAAAATATTTGGAAGAGAAGAGATGGAAGACTAGGGGTTTCTGAAACAAAGCCGATTTGTGTGTGTGTGTGTGTGTGTGTGTGTATGTTACTTAGGAAAACACTGGAAATAACGAAAAATTAGAAATTCAGTGTGTTAGAGCTAATAACCACACACCAGTATAAAATTCTCTTTTATTTCCTTCAGAAAGCACAGAGAGCATTTCAATAGCATTACTTACCCTAATGAATACATATAGAAAAATTTTGCCACCATTAGAAAGTCCAACACCTTAAATGTCACCATGCATGTAGTTTCACACGTAGCATTCATAATAACTGAGTAACTGAAAAACAAAATATGTTTGAATTTTTAGTACAATGATAAGCATTGAAGGAAGATAAGGATGTTTTCCATTAAGTATTAATTTAAGAAGTTTTGCAAAAGTACATTTATTAAATAAATTGACTGGACATATCTCTAAGGCCGTTAGAATTAGATTACCGTACTTTTAAAATGAGACCTGATTGACTAATAGCATCAAACACTGGATAACTCAATCCAAAATCCATCTCCATGACTAATACAAATCCTGATTTACTTACTGACTTCTGATGTCTGTTTTTTATTGAATGATATTATTATAATTCTGTCAAGACATAAAATCCAGAAAAGGTCTCTTCTCTCAATTCTCTGGATCCTCATTATTTAATATTCAGTATTTATCATAAAATAAATCACCTTTTAAAGAGACAAATTTTTCATGCCTTTAGGATATACCAATCAGTTTAGAAGCTAGAATTAGTCTGGTAATTATACCTATGTTAAGCATCAGTGTATGAAAGAAAGGCCTGCATGTTTCCATCTTTGGTATTATGACAACTTAACATGTACATTTTCTGTAAACACCTGGGTGCCTTATGAGAACCAGTCCTATGGCAGTAAGACTTTATGGGGAAGAGAATGATGTTAAATTCAATATAATATGGTATATGAATATGCCAACCAAATAGTAATTTATATTTTTAGACTGAAGTCACATTCACTGTTCAATTTCAAGCATCGTGCATCTAAAATCACTTATATTTTTCAATGAAGAAAATGTTATTGATGATGACACTTAATATAATGGACACCCGTATTGTAACAGAAGGATAGTTTGTCATTAAGTGTCCACTTAATTTCTGAGAATTCAAACAACTATAGTTGAAATTTTCAGGGCACCAGAAATATCCACATAGATGGCAGTTTAAGTAGTAACCATACTCTGTATACATTAAGAACTTCAGATAATTTTGAGATATCAACAGAGAAAATATGACATGACAGCTACTAATTTAAGCTGCCGTTCTGTGTATTGTGAATAAAGGAACAGTGGTCCAAGAACTAAATTAATAAATGGAACATAACACAGATAATATGAAATAGTCAAAACTCAAGTCAAAGAATAAGTTATGATGCAATGTAGCTATTTTAGAAAAAAAGATATAGTGGCAGGGGAATCAAGTATTTTGGCTAAACAATATTTTAATTTCTCTGAAAATCCGCTTACATGGTAAAAGACATTTCACATTAGACAAGCTATTCTACTAACAAGTTTCTTTAAGGCCTCTTTCAAGTCTCTGTTCCTTAGACTATAAATAAATGGGTTGAGCAATGGAGGGACCACACTGTACATCACAGAAGCCACTGCAGTGTTTCTGAGAGAACTATTCAATGCAGAGCTAATGTACACACCAAAACCTGTTCCATAGAACAAGAAAACAAGAGAGAGACAAGAGGCACAGGTGGAAAAAGCTTTGTGCTTTCCTCCTGAGGGTGGCATTCTCAAGATTGAAGACACAATGTAGATGTATGACAGCAAGATTCCACAGACAGGACCACCCCCAAACACAAATGCTGCAACAAATATCAGAAGGTTATTCATAAATGTATCAGAACAGGCAAGCTTAATAATCTGAGCTAGTTCACAGAAGAAGTGGGGGATCTCTAGGTCTTTGCAGAAGGACAGGGCTAGCACCATCAGACTGCGGATCAGAGCATCAGCAATGCTAAAGAATTGAGAGACTAGCACCAGCAGGACACAGTAACAATGGTTCATGATGATAGTGTACCTCAGAGGTCTACAAATCGCCACATAGCGGTCATAGGCCATCACTGCAAGCAGAAAATTTTCCATACCACCAAAAATGGAGACAAAGCAGATTTGAGAAAGACATTGCATGTGAGTGATACTGTCATCCTGTGCTTCAATGTTCATCAGCATCTTTGGGATTGTGGTTGTGCTTAAACAGATATCATTAACGGACAGAAAGGAGAGGAACAAGTACATGGGTGTGTGGAGGTGAGAGCCAGAACTGATGGCTACTGTGATAAGCAAGTTTCCCAGAATTGTGACAAAATACATAGACAAGAACATGCTGAAGACAAGCGGCAATAGTTTATGATCATCAGTCAGTCCAAGGAGATGAAACTCTGTAGCAGTTGTTTGGTTTTTCAGTTCCATATTTCTGATGAGGACTTTGAAAAAGATGAACTAAAAATAAAATTGAACGCATGAACACCAGTGGCATGCAGAATCACTTAAGAATGTGTGAGAAGATGAGATATGATTTATTTTACTGGTAAACTCCTAGATTATTATTTTGGATTCACCTAATGCATAATAGTTTCTAATAGTACTTAAGGAATGCTCAAAACTTCCCATCAACATCATTGCAAAAAATATAGACAATGCCATAGTACTTTTAATGCCATAGTAATTTTGATTAAGAAGGAGCATATTTTTCAATAGAGGAAAATCAGACCTGTGCTTGTACAGACTATGATTCCAAGTAATAAAACTTGAGTAAATGTTGAATTGAGTAGGTATGATGAGAAGTTAAAGAGTCAAAAAGGGGTTGTACAGAGGACAGAATGAAATAAATAAGACATAGTATAATATTGGGTCTAGGAGATGGTAGATATGGAACAGAAGTCACAGAGACACCTTACCATCGTATTTCTATCTTCGTCATTTATTTGACTCCTCATGGGACCTCAGGATGAAATTCTAGGAATATATTTGCCTTAGTTTTCAAAACTCACCTGAATGTTCAAGACTAACTATCAGTCCTCTAGAATTGTGCATGGATAACTGAGTCCAAAGACTGATGTTTAAAAGAGAACATCTCTGAGAACATAGGTGTAAGTGCTTCTTACAGTTTAATATTTTTAACCGAGATCACAGGCCAATTCAGTCAGTCTGCATATCTCATGAGGCTCAAATGCAAAGCTCTTAATTAGCCCAGTTATCTCCTGTACTATTATTCTGGTCCCATATGTACATATTTTTAAAGAACAATGCTGTACAACATTAATATTCTCTAGGCCTAATTCTCTGACTCTGGAGGCCAAGTGTGTAACAACCCATTCTCTCCAATTATTGACTCATCCTTATTTCACATATGTGACATACAAAAGACACATTAGTTTTCAAATTATTTGTGTTATCAACACTGACTACAAGTCACATAAAAAAGATAATGATTTTCTGGTTAGAGTATTAGAACATTTAAAAAAAACTATCACAAAAATCTAAAGAGTTTCCCTCCCTAGGATGGAATTTGAAATATTTAATTGACATGCTGTCTCAATTACAAAATCAAGAAAAGACATTACTATTTACATGTCCAGAACACTTATAACTGCTTAGTTAGTTATCTCTACAACCCTGATTCTTGGTTCTTTTTAGAGACAAGCAATATTAGCAAAATTTTAGGCAACATAACAAAATACAGAGAACTAAAGAAAATTCTCAAAAAATCATTTGCTTAAACAGATATCATTGCAATACAGATCAGTGTTGGGGAACGTTTTTGCAATATTTGTGGGATAGACTCAGTTTTCTTTGAGTGAGGCCTTGGTAGGCTGGCTACTCTACATTAAATGGCCACACATCCAAGAATACATGGCAGCACAAATTAGATTAGATGAGCATTATTTTTAAAAGAACACATACGCCATGTTCCCCTTCTACCCCTGAGCACAGGTCCACTCTTGCTTGTTGCACCCCGTCTCTCTGGACTACCCTCATAGTCCAGATCCCCCACTGCATCCTGATGTTGTACACTCAGATCAGCTCAATTTTCCAGTCTAGCTTGTTAAACCCTTCATAGGCTCTCCCCACTCCTACTTGCTTTGGACTCCTGTGACCAGTCTTCTTCCCTGGCAGTCACCACTGCCACCTTGCCTTAGATTCCCAAGACCAGCCTTCTTCCTTGGTAAGTTAGTTGTCATGCCCACTGTGCCTTGATTCCTCTGCAGAATGAGCAACTCCAATTACCCTGCCCCAACATCCCATCCTGTTCCCCTTGTACCCTTGCTATTAGTGCCCCAGATCTCTGGACTATGCTCTTAGTCCAGACTCACTCACTGAATCCTGATACCCTGCACTCAGATCAGATCAATTCTCCAGTCTAGTTTCTTAGACCCTTCACAGGCTATTCCCCATCCTCCTTTCCATTGAATTCCTGAGACCAGCATTTTACAGTGGATTCCCCCAGCCACACCTTGCCTTTGACTCCTGAGGCCAGCCTTCTACCCTGCCAGACTACTGCCCTGGCCTGCCCACTAGCAAGACCACCCTGCGAGAACCTGGCACACACATCAACTAACCTGTTATACCTAGGCAAAAAGCAACCCAGATTCATCAACAATATAAACAGAACCAAAATTCAAATATACAAAGGAAGAATATAATTTCCTATTGGAAATATAACCAACAAAAGATATCACTATGCCCAAACAGCAACATAAAAGCACATATAATATGAAAAACCAAGAGAATATGTCACCAACAAAATCCACCTGTCCTACAGAGGTATACTACAATGAGAATCACACTGAGGAATCCCACAATACCTAGTTTAAGAGAACAATTATAAGAAGTGATCAGAAAACTTAAAGAAAACAACAACTCAAAGAACTAAAAGAGGATAGATATAAAATTGTCAAGGAAGCTCAAGGAAATACAAATGTTCAGGTGAATGAAATAACAAAAATTTAGGACTTGAAAAGTGAATTCAAAAAAGAGAAATATTGAAGAAAACCCAAGTGAAATGGTTATGGAATTGAAAAATTCAATAAGTCATTTTGAAACAACAGGAGAAAACCTCACAAGTAGAATAAATGAAACAGAAGACAGAATATCAAGACTGGATGAAAAAGTTGAAGAACTAGACTCCAAGCAAAGACGTGAAAAATTAAAAGAACAACAACAACATAGGAATGTAACATTCAGGAAATGTGGGACAGTGTGAGAAGAACAAATCTATGCATCATAGGCAAACAGGAAGGAGAAGTATATCAGGCCAATGGCATTGATCAGATCTTCAACAGGAGTATAGAAGAAAACCTCCCTAAATTAAGGAAAGACATAGCTATACAGATTCAAGAAGCACATAGAACACCAATTAAACAGGAACAGAACAGAAACTCCCCATGGCATATCACTGTAAAAACATTAAATGTACAGAACAAAGAGAGGTGACTGAAAGCTGCTAGAGAAAAACAAGTTACGTTTAAAGGAAAACCCACCAGAATTACAACGGATGTTTCAACACAAACTATGAAAGCCAGAGAGCATGGACAAAAGTATTCCCAGTTCTAAATAACAATGGGTGCCAATGCAGAATACTTTATCTAGCAAAACAATCTTTAATAGTTGAAAGGGAAAGAAAAGTTTTCAATGACACGAAAGGCTGAAAGGATTCATTTTCACTAAACTATCCCTACAGAGAATACTGAAAGCAGTAAATATAAAAACATAAAATAAGACCAAGAACACAAACCAATTAAAATGACAGTAATCAATACATACTATTCAATAATAACTCTTAAATATCAATGACATCAACTCTCCAGTCAAAAGACACAGGCTAATATAATGGATTAAGAAAGAAAAATCTCTCTTTTTGTTCTCTTCAAGAAACTCATCTCACCATCAAGAATGGACACCACCTTAGGGTGAAATGATGGAAAAAATATTCCAAGCAAATGAAAATAAGAAGCCAGAAAGTGTTGCAATTCTAATATACAACAAAATAGACTTCAAATTAAAACTAATCAGAAGAGATAAAGATAATCACTTAATTCTAATCAAAGGAACAATTGAACAAGAACAATTGAACAACCTATCTATCTATCTATCATCTATCATCTATCTATCTATCTATTCATCTATCTATCTATCTATCATCTATCTATCTATCTATCTATCTATCTATCTATCTATCATCATCTATATGCACCAAACTCTGGTGTACCCAATTTCATGAAAACAGTACTACAGGACTATAAAGCACAGATTAATCCCAACACAGTAATAGTAGTTGATTTCAATACTACACAATCTTCAATAGACATGTCTACTGGACAAAGAATACACAGAGACACATCTGAATTAAATGACATCTTACATCAAATGGACCTAATAGACATCTATAAAATATTCTCCCCAAGAAACAAAGAATATACTTTGTATTCAGAAGCCCATGCAAGTGTCTTTAAAATTTACCACATGCTGGGACACACAAAAACCCTCAACAAATACAGAAATTGAAACAGTTCCTTGCATTATATCAGACTACAGTGCTATTAAGCTTATTGTCAACAGCAAAAGAAACCCTAGCAATCCTGGGCAAAAAGAATAAGGTTGAAGTTATCACCATACCATTTCTCAGATTGTATTACAGACTTAAAGTCATAAAATCCAAAGGCCACAGGCACAAAAATAGACAGTGGACCCATGGAACAAAATAGGAGACCCCAAAATGAGTACATGCAATTTCAGTCACCTGATTTGACAAAGGTACCAAGAAAGCACAATGGAGGAAAGACAGTATCCTCAATTGATTATTCTGGCAAAAAGGAATCTCCACTTGTAGAAGAATGAAATTGGACCCTTAACTTTCGGTCTGCATAAAAGTCAACTGCAAGTGGAGCAAAGACCTCAAAATAAAACATGAACCTCTGAAACTGCTAGAAGAAAACATAGGCGGTATTCTACACAATACTTTCTATATCAGACTTTCTATATCAGACATCAGTTGCCCAGGTATTAAGGTCCATAATCAACAAGTGGGACTTCATTAAGCTACAAAGCTTCTATACAGCAAAAGAAACAACCAAGGAAGTGAAGAGGAAACCCGCTGAATAAGGAAAAATCTTCACTTGCTACACATCCAACAGAGGATTAACACCCAGACTACACAAAGAACTCTAAAAGCAAAGATATGAGAAAAAATAGCATTCAATAAAAAAAATGGGCTATACATCTGAATAGAGTTTTCAAATGAAGAAATAAAAATAGCTAAGAAACTCCTTAAAAAGTGCTCAACATCATTAGTAATAAGAGAAATGCAGATAAAAACCATTTTAAGAGTCAATCTTACCCTTGTCTTTCTGGCTAAGATCAAGAGAACAATAGACACCAAATTCTAGAGAGGATGTAGAGAAAGAAGAACTACCATT